AAAGAATTAAGCCCTACTAGTCTAAGGTTTCTATTATACACAGATTAACTTCTCTCCTAGTCATATACATACTATTAGTTATGTAACACCCTTGGGATAATTTAGAAAGGTAGAAACCTTAATCAATAAAAGCTGCCAGCAGGGTCCAGGCCCACAGCCTAATGATTAAGGAAACGAGATCCTATGTGGCTGACTAGGGTTTGAATCCCAGTCCCAGTGGCTTGAAAAACACACAACTGGATAGAGAAATGGAGGAGAAGGGACTGTGGTGTGACCACATCCCACTGAGAGGTGCTTTCGCTTTCTCTCTCCTCTCTGTCAAGTACAAACACTCTCTGGCAATTTAACAGAAAAGAGGAAAAGAAAAGCTGCTAGTCTTTAAAAAAATCCATCTACCTGCTGCTGTAACGTCAGAACATGCCACCATATTTCACACGAGCTGCGGTAACAGACTATTACTGGTTTTGCAGCTCTTGCTATCAACCCTGTCAAGCCCTTCTGCTCACAATAACCAGTCATTTCTGTAAAGACTAAATCAGATTACAAACATCTCCCTTATTTTTATTCTCTCGAGACTTCCGCCTAAAATCAGAATAAAAATCTCTTCATTAAGGTCTTATGAGACCCTATCTAATCTAAGTCTTGTCTCCTTCTCTGACTTCATTTCTTACTATTTTCCCCTTTGCTTTGTTAATGATTTAGAGCCATACTGGACTTCTTTCAGACCTTCAAAACCACAAAGCAAATCTTGCACCAGAGATTTCCTATTTTCTTTTAGAAGTTTATTTCTTCCACGAGGAAGAGAGAGACAGACACTGTATCTGTAACAGAGTCTCTGATCCCCCAGTCCACCCTCAGCCTGCTCCACATCATGGACACGCATATGCATTGCACAATCAAGGCGGTCTCTGAACGCGAACCTGGAACTTTTCCATGTGGATCCACTTCACAGAGCATTGCATTTTACCACTGTGTCACCACCCAGCCCCCTGACTTTGCATGTTTTGTTTTGTTTACTCAGAACTCTGCTTACCTCAGATCGTCCCCCCCGGTTCAAATGTTGCCGCCTCAGATGGACCTTCTGACTATTCCAACTACAGTAGCACATTCCTCATCTGCTTCACCCATCCCACCCCTGTTGTTTCTTTGACAAAATGTTTACCAACTGAAATTATCTTTACTTATTTACACATTTCAATGTCTCATTCCAAGTATTAGAATGCAAGTGGATCTACTAAGTTAAGGATTTTGTCTTGTAGTCTGCCAACCACAGAGCAAGCAATCGAGTTTTATTATAGAATAAACTGAATTGTCATTATTAGTTTTTCTCATTCCCTAAACTAATTTTGAATGAGAAAAGATGTCTGTGTATATTTTTAGTCTTAATTCTTTGGAAATGTTTAAGTATTATTGTCCTGAAAAAAAACCAAACAAACCCAAAGCAACAACAAAAAACCCCAGTCATCTAGTTTCCCAAATAATATGTGGAGAAATGACATTAATAAGGAATTTTTCTTTTTCTTCAAGAGTTACTTTATTTAACTTTCTTTCTCTATTTTAATTTGAAAGAGTTACTTTATTTAACTTTCTTTCTTTATTTTAATTTGACGAGAGAGAGAGAGAAAGTGAGAAACCGAGTCATCAGGTCCAGGACTCAAACTGCAGCCAGCTATGTGGGAGTCCAGTACCCTTAACCACCACGCCACCTATCAGCTCAGGAACTTTTTCACTTACAGTTTCGTATGTAACATCCAGTGACTGATGACTTGGCCAGAAGCTCCATTCCCAAATCCTGTAATCTGCCAGAGTTTTCAGTTCCACATGAAGCCAGAGCAGACTGTTCAGCAGAAAAAAGGCTTGTCTGCATGTCTCCAGAGGCAGCATTGTTGCTTTTAATCTCAGAAAGTGTATTTTTTACATCAGTTTTCATACATCGAACTTCAGCCATTTGAGTCTTTAGTCTTTTCAGCATCTTTAAATCAGAGGGCACTCGCCACATTGCCTGCTGCTTCCTCTGGTCTTTATCTTTTCGAGAATATGAAGCTTCAGAGAGAAAATGACAAGTCACATTAATAAAAATTTTAACATTCATGAAATATCTTAAAATATGAATATATACGTATTTGACAAAATAAGCATTGGGCGGCATCAACAATAAAACTATGCATTGAATTCCATTAATGAAAATAAAGACGACACAAGTGCTCTAACTATTCACACCATAAAAGTTAGGGCCTGAGTCATACCAGAATCACTCAAATCTAAACTATGTACTTAATTCTAAAAGACTAAACGCTGTCTTTTTGCAAAGTTTTCTTCTTTATACTGTCTTAATTTTCTCTTATTTCTACACTGAGTTTTTATTATGTTTATGCTTGAAATGTGTGAGGGGAGATTCTAGAACCCAAATACTCTGTTAATCCACTAGATAGAGCATTATATTAAAAAATTCTAACTAGAATTTTTAGCTGGCTCCACAGCCTGGTGGATAAGGCAGCTGGGTTCCATATGGTCAACTACGCAGTTTGAGTCCCAGACCCACTGGCTTGAGAAACATGCTGGGTATGTGAGAGTGCCCAAAATCCTGAAAGGAGGGAAAACTGGAGGAGAGAGTGTAGCATGACCGTTCCCACAGGGAGCCCTTTCTCCTTTTATCCACTTTCCCTCTTTCTCTGTGGCAAGTGCACATGCCCTCTAGCAAAAACAAAAGCGAGCAAAAAACAGCAACAAAACTCCCTAAATTTTAAAAGCTGTCTTATTGAACTACTAGACATAACTGTCAAGTCTTATGGAATCTCATAGAATAGTTTACACTCATTGAATCTTCACAGAAACTAAAGTGATAGCATTATCTCTTTTCCCAGAGAAATTAAAGTTTTTCATTTCTTTTCTCCCTCTCCCACCCAAACATTAACAAAAACTCAAGTAGGAAAAATATACAATACACTTCTATTCTGCTGCAGGATGGGAAAAACAGGTAGTATTACTTGGTTTTGTTAACGTAAGAGCGTTTTGCTCTAGCCATCCTCCCGCCTCAGCTTCCCAGCTGGTATTACAGGTGTGTACCACCATGTCTGGCTTTTTGTTTTCAAACAGGGTTTTGACTGTGTTGCTGAGGCCAGCCTGGAGCTCATAATTCCCCTCCCTCAGTTTCCTGAGTCACTGGGATTACAGGTTTACGCCACCATACTCAACCTTTTGTAGAGCAAAGAACACTCTGATTCCAAGCAAAAAGAAACTGAACTAAATTAAAAAAGACAACAGAGACTAAAATGTGCCCAAACTGGAAACTGAACATAGCCTTTATTAGCAGAAACGATGGCCGAAGCTGCTAAGACACTGCAATGGTCTCTGCCATCCATGAGGAAGCACAGCCCTAGGCAGACAGTGTAGTCTGCCAAGAGATCTTGCCAAAGTGCCCAGACTGTGCTCAGGTGTCAGACGGGCAGCAGTGTGCTCAGGGAGGTTCAGCCCCTCTTTATTCCTGGGGAAAATGGGTCCAGAAATGGACTAATCTCATCCCTCTTTTACAGTGGGCACAAAACCCAGTTCTACTGGTGTAAGACTGCTGGGACACCCCTGAGAAAGGTTCTGTACCCTGACAGGAAGATTGACTGGGTTTATTTATTTAACAAAAGTGAATAAAGAAGTTACTGGGTTGGCCCCACAGGGCAGCAGTTAAGTGCTATGCATAGAAAGCTGATCCCACATGGTTGACTGTGGTTTGAATAACAGCCCCAGCAGCATGATAAACGTGCCAGACGCATGTGTGTGTGTGCCCCAAGTCCTAACGAGATGGAGAAATGGAGAAAAAAGGACTACAGCGTGACCACACGCCACTGGAGGGTGCTGCATCTCTGTGGCAAGCCCATGTACACTCTGGCAATAAAAATCAAAGAATTTACTGTGTCAGGCATTCAAAAAAAAAAGAAATTAAGTGATTTAATCCTTCCATATTGACCCTGTGAGGTAAGTAGTAGTATTAACTCAAATTTTATAAAATAAGAAACAACACAAAAAGGTAATATAACATATTCCGGGTAACACAGGTGGCACATAGAACTTGAATTTAAACCTAGATGCCTGCCTCCAGAGTCAGCAATTTTGTTATTAATAATTTTGCTTTCTTAAGATCATAGAAATAAGCCCTCTTTTCTGCCCTCTGTATTCCTGTGAAACCATGACAGGTGAAGCCGTGGCAGCTACCTTAGGAGAACAGGTGAGAGTATCACAGGAAAACCATCTAATGCCCTACTTCCAAATAGCTGATGAACTTGGGTCCAGAAATGGACTCATCTCATCCCTACCTCCAGACTTAGTATCATGATAATGAAGTGCCTTTATTAGTTAAGCCACCATCTGGAAACATTCTATTAACTGCAGTTGAAAGCACTCATAGACTATGACTGGAGATTTTAGAAGTCAGGATTTGGTCTCAGATCTCCCATTCTGTCGCTATAACTTTCTATTAGTCCATCAACTTTACTGAGTCTGTTCGTTTCTACGATGAAGATAATAATATTCACATAACAGGGGTGTTGTAAGGCTCAGACGATTCGACATTTGTGAAAGTACTCTGTGGTACAGTTCCCATCCAGTCCGTCGTCTATCAGGATGCCAAAGTGGTCATCTAAAATCTAAATCCAATACTCCATTTCTGTCTAGAATCTTCCTTTACATTTCCTTCTATACAATGTAGGAAAATACCAATCAATATGGCACACAAGGCTCTTTATTACCTGAATCTACCTTTTCTCTCAGTGGCTTTATTTTCTCCCTCAATTCCAAATATACCCCAACCTTCTGGAATTACTGCAACTCATTCTAATTTATGGGCCATGTCCTGTCATATTCATTTTTTAAAAACTGTTATAGGGCACATGCACTTGCCAGAGACAGAGAAAGCGACAAAGCACCTCCTAGAGGGAATGACCATGGCAATCCCTTTTTCTCCATTTTCCCTTTGAGATTCTGGGCACACATGTCATATACCTGGAATGTTTCTCAAACCAATGAGTTTGGGACTCAAACCACCCAGTCGGCCATGTAGGACCCAGCTGCCTTAACACCACGCAGCCTAGCTGGTTCTTACACTTTATTCACGTTGTACTGCCTGTGGTCTCTCTGCCAACCCAAATTCACCATATATAATCTGAAATCCCCTGCCGGCAGGCACCTGTCCACCATGTGGCCCCTCCTCACAAATCAATGATCTACATTAGGAGTCCAGCGTGTACTCGTACTGAAGCGCTTACATGGTAACGGGGAAGACAAACCTCATGTATTCTCTGAATGACCTAAGGGTGGAGGTCAGAACTCAGTGATCCTTGTATTCCAGGTCAAGCACAAAAATACTCAAAATGTTTGCTAAATAAAATTTTTGTGACTCCCACTTCTACGTGGACTTAAATATGAAAGTCTGTATTAACCAACAGGCTTCCGTTTATTATTATGGGAAACTGGCAAGAATGGATGGGGTACGTAAAAAGTAAAAATCCCGAATGGGAAAACACAAAAAGCCTTAAACACCCCTTATCTGATTATCAATTAACATTTACTGAGCCTGTTCTTTTAAAAATTAATTTATTTTTGTATTGCTAGAGGGCATGTGTGCTCAACAGAGAGACAAAGAGAGAGAAAGCACCCCTAATAATAGGGTGTGGGTACATCACAATCCCTTCTCCATTTCTCTATTCTGTCGAGACTTGGGGTACACTTGCACATGTCCCTGGTATGTATTTTTTTTCTTTTTCTTTTTAAATTTGCTACAGGGTATGTGTGCATGCTGGCGAGAGACAGAGAGAGGAAAGCATTCCCCTCTCCTCCCCCCACACGGAAGATGGTCATGATGCAATCCCTTCTCCTCCATTTCTTCTTTCTGGATTTTGGGCATGCATTCACAAGCACCTGGATTGTTTTTCAAACCACCAGGTCCTGAACTTGAACTGTGCAATCAGCCATGTGGGATCCAGCTACCTCAACCACCACCCCACCCACTGGCCCCCAGCTAGACTTTCTAGTTCTATTTACCACTACAATATGGCGCAACTAGATTACATGATACTGCTTACTATGCTCCTTTTACAGCACTGTGGTTAAGAACACAAATACGCTGTGAGTCAGACACTAGGTGAGTGATGGGATAAAAAATACGCACATGAAAAATCAAAGTAACCATCAAAATCCAGCAAGCCTTTCAACAAAAAGAAAGTTGTAGCATTCTGCAATAAGAGCTTTTGTTAGCATCCCCTCACAGGTTATTTTTATTTGGCATGCATGACTGTTCTCTTGGTTTTTCTCCTTTTTAAAGGCTTTTTATCTGGACCATTCTCCTCATACTCAGTAAAAACTAATGTTCATCAGGATTATGTCCCTAGTTATCCTCTTTTAAAAACATTAAAAAATATTATTTTACGACGTCACTCCTTTAGTTTTAATTATCTGGTATCACCTCCAAGAAAAGACTACCTGCCTTCCAGATCTTGATTTTTTAGCTATCTACTAGGACTCTCCACGTTGGTATCCCACTTGACTCAGGTATGTCCAGCTCCAGGTGTTTAAATTCAAGACTTACTTTTCCTTCCTACTACTTCCTCTACCTTCCCTGTTATCTTCAGCATTTTAATACCTGGATTTAAATCGTAGGTCCTCTCGTATTATTAATTTTACAAAGAAAACTAAATTTTTAGTGAACAGAGATCTGTTTATACAGTATGCATTCTTTTTTTCCAATGACATTAATATTCTCTAAAACACCTTACCTATCTATGAAATATACCATTGCATGGCTAAACTGTAATTTATTTAGCCACAGTTGTACTGTTGGATATTTTCAAAGACCTGATTACTTTCTCTTTGAGATATACTCCTAGAAGCAAAATTACAGGTTTAAAGAATAGGGGTCCCCTTTTTTTTTTGAGAGATATTTTTACTATAGGGGGCCATGTGCTCATTGGAGAGATAGACAGAAAACAAGAAGTCACCAACCAGGAGGGTGGCCATGCCGCAATTCCCTCTCCTTCACTCTCTTCTTAGGATTCTGGGCACACATGCACATGCACCTGGCGTGAGGTTTAAGCCACCAGGTCTGGGACTCAATCGACGGTCAGCTATGTGGGAGTTCAGCGATGTAACCATTACACCATCTGCTGGTCCTAGAATAGGGATCTTTTAAACTTACTAAAACATCATTATTCAAAAAGGTTAAACTGGGACCAACAGATGGCATAACAGACACCCATGCAGTTGAGACCACAGTTCGAGTCCCGGACGTGGCAGCTTGAAACTCACGCCAGGCGCATGTGTGGGCGTGCCTAAAATCCTGACAGAGCGGAGGAGAAGGGACTGTGGTGTGGCCATCTCCTCTGAGGGGTGATTTCTCGCTTTCTGTCTCTCTGTCTCGGTCTTTCTGGTGAGTGCATGCACCTATATAAAAAATCACTCCAAAAGAAAAAAGGGTTAAGCCAAAAAACACATGGGTCTACAGATTCAGAACCTGTCTGTTTCACTAAGCCTTTATAAACAACACTGGTTTTTATTAAGCAAAACTTGATATAAAATATTTTCAGGCCATAGATAAAAGGCAATTGTTTCATAACCTGGTTGAAAACAATCATTCAAACTGGGCACTCAGACTTCTAGGAAGTATAATTTGGGAAGGAAGAGGACAAGATGATCCAAAGTCCCTATGTTACTAGAGAAGCTCTATTTCTCTGTTTTTTTATACTAAGATTCTGCCTTAGACTTTGAAAAATGAGTCCTGCTGCTTAAAGGAGCATCAAAATTACTGTTCTAAATCACGGATTTGATTTAATATTATTTTTAAGAGGGTAGAGAAACATTCAGTACATTTTATTAAATACACTGAGAATATTTTGGCAACATTCCAACAAAAATGGCTTTTTAAAATGCTGTTTTTAAAGGTGAATCCTTAGGTATACCAAAACGACTCTATACTTCACACTTTCATAATGTCCAGATCTGGCTATAAAAATCTCCAACTTATTACAAATAACACAAATGTAATTTCTCTTTGACACGTAACTTTTACACATCAAACACTGGATACCATTGTGATCTACTGAGCAAGAGTTAAATATCTTTTTCTGTTGGATTTAGACACAGTTCTACTTCAAAGTTAGAGAATTCATGAGGCCTGAAAAAAAGTCACAAAGAAGATAACTATACTTCAGAAAAGTTAAACTATTAACTAGGCACAATTTAAATGGTAAATTACATAAAAACCTTCTTACAAACATTTCTAGTTTGTTTTTACATAAAATTCACTGTTTTTTCCAAAAAAAATTAGAATTTTATAACTATTAATTTTCATAGACACAACGAAAAATCAATTCACTACAGAAATACACCATGTTCCAACACTTAGATGACAAATACATGAATGAATCTTCGAGAGTTCCAGAAAATCACAGAGAAAAAGGAAATTATACTTGTTGCTATGTTACCTGTGGGCGGCAAAAGTGAAGCAGGTGGGCGAGGCTGTAAGCCCCACAAATTGTCCATACTGCTCCGGTCCTTAAGGTCCAATAAATGTATTAAAATTAAGGGATCAATGTCTAATAAACTACTGGTAGCAGCAGAGCATAAATGCGCTCTTCTTGACATTCTGCTACTGGCACCCATATAACCATGGCTACTACCTGCAAAAGAAATAGAGATGTAGAAAATGTATGGTGTATAAATATATATGTGTGTACATAAATTTAAATATAATTAAGAGAAAAAAAGAAACTGATTAACATTGTTTGAATACTTGTCTATCGGAACTATCTCTTAGGACTTCATGATAAGAAACAAAGAAGAAAGTAGTTGCCAGAAAGCTGTCAACTAGCGCAGTGACTGAGCAGAGGCTTCGCTATCAGCCAGAATTTAACCCTGAGACCCCTCCTGAGCCTGAGGAAAGAAAGATGATGATGGGGCTGCCTTTGTGGCACAGTGGTAATGCGTTCAAGAGAAGCTGGATCCCACATGGTGACTATGGTTCAAATCCCTGGCCTGATGAGCCTGAAACACATCAGGTATGCAAGTGAATGCCCAGGATCTGACAGGCTGAAGGACTGGAAGGAGAGCAAGGTCCATTCAGAACCTGTGGAGAGTTCCTGACTCTCTCGCCCTCACTCTCACATATGCATGTACATGTTCTATCATAAATTAAAACTTTTTTTTATTAAAATTTTTTAAAAGGGCCAGGAGGTGGTGTGGTGGGTAAAATGCTGGACTTCCACATGGCTGACCGTGGGTTGACTCCTGGACCTGCAGTTTGCTTTTTCACTTTCCCTCTCTCTTTCTCTCTCTCCCTGGTAAGCGCATATACCCAATAGCAAATTTTAAAAATTAATAATAGTAATAAATAAAATTAAGTGAACAGTTCTTAAAAACTTAATATATTTTAAAGCATGACAATGTGAACAAAACATGAAACAGTGGAGGATGTATGACAGGTGAATGTGAGAAAAAGGAGAATATATTCCATGACACATTGGTTTTACATGAAAGAAGACAAATTCTCATAGTATAATAAATTTCATAGAATTGACATCAAACAGGAATCTCTTCCAAGTCTCTGGAAAGCAAAAATGTACAGGTCATCAAAGTTTGGTAATTTTTTTCTAGCTTGATTACATACTGGGTACAATTTCAAATTTTCTAAGAGAATTTTTAAATGAATGAGGCACATTCAGGACATCTGTGAGCAGATGCCATATCTATGTCACCCATGTTGCACTAAGTTCCTTAAGGCAAATAAAGCAACTTACTTATCTCTTGTGCCTACTACAATGCCTGGAAAATATGGAAATGTTACTTAAAATAAACCTCTTCAGGCCACCTGCAGCGGAAGAGCAATAATGTAACACTCCACAGTACTGAGCACACATGGAAGAACTCCTGCTTCTCCTGCATGTGTCCTGATACTGACTAGTTGAGGCTGGGGACAAATTATGGCTTGAGGACCACTTAGTGAGTGTCTTTCATTCTCTTTCCAGAAGGAGATAAACTTTTTACAATGAATTAACCTTCTTCAATAAAGCTATTTAAATATATTCTTCTTTTTTTTTTGAGAGATTTTTGCTATAGGGTACATGTGCTCGCCAGAAAGAAACAGAGAGATAGAAAGCAAGAAATCATCCCCAGGGGGGATGGCCATGTCACAATCCCTTCTCCTCCATTCTCCTCTCAGGATCTTGGGCACGCACACATACGCGCCCAGCATAAGTTTAAGCCACCGGGCCTGGGACTCGAACTGCGGTCGACTAATGGGAGACCAGCGACATAGTCATTACGCTAACTGCTGGTCCCTTAAATGTATTCTAAAAATACACATTTTAAAAATCCTACACACCTTGCTTTCTGTCTGTCTGTCTCTCTCTTTCTGGTGACTGTATGCGCCCCACAGCAAAAACCTCACAAAAAAAAAAAAAAAAAAAAAAAGGACTACACACAGCAAAGTCCTAAGTCGGTAAGACCTAGTAGGCAATAATTTTTGGAGAAGTTACAGTACTCAAGATGGTGTGTATGGAGCTGGATCTCACATGGTCAACTTCAGTTCAAGTCCTGATCCTGGCTGAGCATGTGTGTGTGCATGCCCAAAATCCCAACAGGATGGGGGTGGGGAGGGTATTTTCTCTGGTGAGTACACAGGCCGTCTAGCAATAAAAAAGTTCCAGTATTCAGAAGATTTGACCCAATTAATAATTCATGTTTTTCATTATTTTTACATCCTCCTATCCTCACCTTCTCCCACTTTTACTTCTCCTAAGGATTACTATCTTACTGTCAATTTTTCTGTGTCCAGAGCAATTCCTATTAAATAGCAGGCGATTGTCCCCATTTCATGTTGAAACTGTTTCTAACTTTTCTTTTTTTAGGATATTCCCAAATCTGGCTATGAATCAGTCAGGTGGAAGAGTTTTAAAAATTAAAGAATTCTAGGGACCAGTAGTTAGCATAATGGCTATGTCGCTGGACTCCCATGTAGTCAATCGCAGTTTGTGTCCTGGACCTGGTGGCTTAAAACTCACGCCAGGTGTGTGTACGTGTGCGTGCGCGCCCAAGATCCCGAGAGGAGAATGGAGGAGAAGGGACTGCGGCGTGGCCATCCCCCTTGGGGGGTGATTTCTCGCTTTCTGTCTCTCTGTCTGTCTCTGTCTGTCTGGCGAGAGCACATGCCCTATGGCAAAAACCTCTCCAAAAAAAAAATTAAAGAATTCTAGCTGTATTCCAGATATCAAATGAGAATATTGAACTGGGATCCAGGGCCTTTATCTAAAAACCTACTTAGGTGGTTCTGATTTATAGTCAACTCTGTAGCCTGATAGATGGTATCTATGCCCTAATATCTAGTCCTCCTGTAAAAATGAAAGTTATTCATTCTCCTATGTAAAACGCTAATCTACAGCACAGAAAGCAGCATTAGCAAGTTCTTGCTTCTCTCACTGTTTTCCAGGCCATTATTCTCATCCATGAACCAAACCTCCTTTCCTCTGTGGTTAATGCTCTTGGGGGTAACTCCCATTCCACTCATTCCTAACCTTTCTACTCACTACCGTATTCACCCTCACAGGTATCAAAGGCTTTGGCATCTATTTTGATTTATCTTTCTCTGTGCTCATATTACCATTCTGTGCCTATGTGTGTATCACATAAAAAAATGTCAGGAGGTAGTGTGGTAATTAAAGCTCTGAATTTCCATAAGCCTAATCATGGTCCCAGACCCAACGACTCGGGGGAGAAAAAAGCACCTGGTACATAAGCATGTAGGCCCAAAATCCCAAGGGGAGAATAGAAAAGGAGGAACTGCAATGTGGTCGTCCCCCTTAGGGGGTGATTTCTTTCTTTCTGTCTCTCTCCAGCAAGCACATGCAGCCTATAGCAAAAATCTAAAAAAAGAAAAAAGTACAGACTAAAAAATGTTCAGAGAGGGAACCAGCAGTTAGCATAATGGCTATGTTGCTGGACTCCCATGTAGTCGACCGCGGTTCGCGTCCCGGACCCGGTGGCTTAAAACACACGCTGGGTGTGTGTGTGCGCGCGTGCCCAAGATCCCGAGAGGAGAATGGAGGAGAAGGGATTGCGGCGTGACCATCCCCCTGGGGGGTGATTT